AATTTGACTTAATCCTCATTTCGATATGATGGGTCATATAGTTGTATCTGCAACTGTATTTGATAATGTTTTGAACTTTTAAAATATTACATTTTACACCCAGAAGCTGCTCTTCATATTAGTGACAAACAATAACAGTAACAACAGCTTTTTGACAAGTTTAACATTTCTTTAAAATACATTAAAAATGTTTAAAAATAAACTACAAAAATTAATTTTAAAGTACAAATTAAAATCTGCAACTGTATTTGATAATGTTTTGAACTTTTAAAATATTGCATGGTAAAAACAGAAGCTGTACTTCATATTAGTGACAAACTTTGGTGTTTTTTGATGAGTTACTTTAATTTTTACTTCTACTTTTCATTTAAAATAAGTTTCCATTCTCAGCAGGTTTCTAAGGTTCTTCTTCTACATATTAAAAAAGTTGTTAAACATCTGAGTGGTGCACTACTGCTACTAGTGGTGAGAAAGTGTATTGCACCTTAGTCAAAATCAGTGTGGTCCCACGTCCCTCTGTGGCCCAAAGTTAAAAACTGTTGTTCTTTTGAGGCCCTCAAGGTGGCGCGCCCATGGGTTAAGAATCTCTGTTCTAAACAATGTGGAAACTCCTTTTCTGTGGATAGTATTATTGGTTCAGGTTAGTTTAAATATGTTTTGTCAAGATTCTGTGGAATAACTTTGCTTTTTTAAAAAGTAGAAAAACACGACTTACTGTTTAATTTGTTCTGTGATGTAGATGTTGGACAAGCTGCGAGATCGTTGGGTCAACACTGGCCTGTGGGAAAAGCTAGAACATCAGAAAACTGTCATCACAGAGCCTCGCGGGGGTGGCAAAGGAGATTTCGATGAGCTTCTGCAGATATACTACAACACTATTAAAAACTGCACAGGGATGGGTGAGAATGCATCAGACTGATTTTGAATCGCTATTGCTAAAACATGCTTAGTGGCATTATTTCTGTATGTTAGTGCATCACAGACGTTGTAAAAATGCACTGATTTCAACAGCATCTTTCTATTATAAATTCAATGTTTTTCAAATTTGTACTAGATAATGCCTGTCATACAACTCCATGTTTGCTGTGTTTTAGATGGGGCACTGCTCATGGCTGTGTGCAGGGGTAAGGTCAGTGAAGGCCTAGACTTTACAGATGACAATGCCAGAGCAGTGGTCACAATTGGCATTCCCTTTCCAAACATCAAAGACCTCCAGGTAGGTGCAATATAAAAAATCAACTGATCATTGAACTTTTGTTGTAAGTCTGTCTTGTTGTAATGTTTGTCTAAATGTTGTTAAAAAAATTATGCTTAAGTATTGAATTGTTTGTAAGCTTAATTTCTGAACTTTAGTTAACCTCTTAAATAGAGGTGTTAAATATTTCACAGGACTAAATTTTAATGAGATTTTCCACTGAGCTGAAGGCTGACTTGTGAAAATATTGTTATAATGTCTCCACCATTACAATTTTTTGTGTGGCAACAGTTCACAAACATGTCCAACACTACCCTTTGATCAAGATGTGTCATAAAGGCAGCTTTCCGTATTCCCCCGCCTCTGCAGCTGTGCTGAGAGAAATAATCTGTCATTCATTAATCTAAAAAAAATAAACCTAATGTTGAATTCACATGGTATTTACTTTGGAGTTGAGAATAGGAAGTTCTCTTTATTCCAATTCAAAATTTTTAAGTGGAGGACCCCCCCCCCKAAAAAAAAAAAAAAAAACCCACAAATCTTCTACCTTCTCCTTTTCTAACAAATAACGTAAATATTGAAAGAAAATATGTATCAACAGTAGGGATGCAAGTTATCGATTAATGGATTGATCTAAAGTTGACTGATCTTATCGATCGACTAACGATTAATTGATAAGCGGAAAATTTCCTAAAAACCTGACATTTCTCTTTCTATAACATGAAGGGCTAATTTTTATACACTAAATAAAAAAGTAAAGCATTTTAGCAAATCATTGTGTCAGCTGTGTGAGTAAACACTGACTGAATGAACAGAGAAATGTGGATTTCTCTCACATTATTAAACTTGGACATATTTATAATAAATAACAAACAGGAATCTGTTAAGTTGCTAGTCGAAAAAAAAAAAAGTAAAACAATCCATCCTGAAGATGAAAAACTTATTTAAACACAGGATAATATTTTAAGATTCACTGAAAAACAAACTAAGAACATAATAAAATGTCTCTGAAAGATGTGAGATACAAATGAGTACTGTACTGGCAATAGTTTGTTTGTTTACACTCCGTCTGCTTTTATTTTAGCTGGGCTGCTGGACATGTGACATCAGTTACTTTTTATTAGATTGGTTCACTGGCCGGGTTATGTCACACAGATTAGATTAACTTCATATTTTTAGCGACTGTAACGTTTTTTGTTTTGTTTTGTTCTTTCACACGGAGTTAAACTCAACGAGAGGAAGCTAATGTTAGCCACAGTTAGCTTACCGTTCTGTCGTCCTTCTCTCTTGTTTTAAGCGACATACTGCTGGATAGTCCGGTACAGCCTTCAGCACTTTTCCTTCGAGTTTGGTGTAGTCCATTATTATCATTGTGTCGCAAATAAAACTAAATAAGATTCACGCGTTTGCGGTCCCACCCACAGACGGCTTTCTGCTGCTCAGTTCTACTGGGCCGGGGTAGAGCAGTAGTGCGCTCTGCTGGATGAAGTCAAAACTACACTGAAATAAAGTTTAAACAGACGTTTTCAATTAATCGAATGGAAGAAACTTCAATCTAATAAACCATTAATCAACAATTAATCGTAAATCAATTAATTGTTTGCATCCCTAATCAACAGGTCAGAGCTATTCAAAAACCGGAAATTGGTATCGGCCATAAAACCAGAATCAGTGCATCTCTACCTGGGTCCCCAGATATTACTGGTTTACGAATGCAAACAGAAACAGGAACTGCAGAAGCTACTGACTCAAAAGACTCTACAGATCCAAGGCAATGAACCACTTCAGGCCAGGGATATAGTGAAATTGAAGCCTCTGGTACTTGAGACATGGAGGATTTGAGAGCTCAGGCTTGGAGAGCTCGAAGAACTAAAACTTGGAGGACTTGACAGCTAGAGGCTTGTAGAGATCACTGACTGAAGGCTGGGAGAGTTTGATGGCAGATGACTGTGACAGTTGGATGACTGGAGGCTGAGAGAGCTCTGTGACTGGGAACCCTTGGTGAGTGAAGACCCTAATAAACAGAGGACTGAGAAACTCTGTGGCCTGGTGCATGGACCTGCAGAGGCTGGTGAATGGGAACAACAGAAGCAGGTGACTGAGGGAACACAGAAGCAGGTGCTCGGGGAACTGGTGACTCAGAAACTGGAATGGCAAGCACCAGCACACAGGTTCGGGAACTGAAGAAACTGGAATTTCTGGTACCAGGAAGCCCAAGAACTGGAGATTTAAGGCCTCAACATACTCCATCCAAAGTCAAACAGTTTACGCGCGGTCACGTAGTTGTTCGTTTTCACACACACCTGCAGTATTCTGTATTTCTAAATTGACATCACCATTCTACCATGATAAACACAAAAACTGTCACAACACAATCAAAAACATGAATTATGACTAAATGTAGTTACAGAAATTCTGTATTTGCTGAAAGGATTATTTAAAAAATGTCACAATTGAGATGTTTAACTTACCGGTATATATTCTTTACTTTTTTGAAAGATCTGATATATCAGTTTTTATAAATATATATTTAAAAAAAGGCAACCAAAAAAACAACAACAAAAAAATAGTCATACATAGACAGGTTTACACAAACCCACACCAAATAAGAACATCCCTTTTTTGGTGATCCGTGAAAAAAAATCCCAAAGCAATGTTACTGTGTGTGTCGTGTCCTTAGTAGATAAAATTGACCTTTAAGTTAAAGGCTCCCTCACCTCCCACTTTTTCTCCCTTTTACTCATCCTCCTGTCAGAGCACGATGAAGCTTTCACTAACCTGTTCTGTCAGTGGAGGAAGATGTGTGAGTGATGGAAGCTTCACCTTAGTTGTCAGCATTCAGGTCATTTTTTCTTTCCCTTTTTTCTTTTGTTCTATTGTTGATTTAATAAGCGTTTTTAAGTATTTCTTTAAAAGTCTAAACATATATTAAACTTCTTAAAATCTTATTGTAGTGATGGTTTGTAATAAAGTAGAAATCAGTTTTGGCTTGTAATTCAGGTGTAAAATTTTATTTGGAAAGTAAGAGTTATCAGCATGGATCACTTGGATTCTTATTTAATACCCACTTATTTAATACCCACCATCGTTATTGTGTCCAATTAATCGTCAGAAAAACTTTAATCAATTATTTTTTTGGTACTTGCCAATTAATACAATTAATGCTGCCAGGCAGACTGACAGGAGATTTTCCCAGTCATTTCGCTCAGTGCTCCTCTCCGCTTAAAATATAACGAACATTTAAATAAAAAGTCCTGTAATTTAATTATCATAACTCTGGTTTTACTTGGCCTATGAACACAATTTAAAAGTTGATGTACAGCCTGCAGTCTGTACTTTTGACACCATTTGGAACAGATTTTTACAGAGAGCAAACTTTCCCACTAGAGTGATTTCAATTGGTCAGTAGCTGCATTTCCTTTGCAAATGTACGCAAAACTTTGTCGATATTCTGTTAATGTAGAAAAAACACAGTTTCGCAACTGCGTTGTTTCCATTAAGTAAGAAATGCTATAAAAGTCAAGCGTGAATATGTTTGTTCTTGCGATAATTACAAACATGGCGGCAATGGATGTAAACACATAGCAWYWTGCTACCGCGACACTAGCGCTCATCATCAGAGGAGACGTCGGCGTCTTTTATCGAGGCTTNCTAGCGCTCATCATCAGAGGAGACGTCGGCGTCTTTTATCGAGGCTTTCCAGAGACAAGCCCCTACTTGGGAGCGGCTACGTATGCTGTGTTTTTGGGAAATTGTAGTCAGTGAGTTTACTACTTTCTTTTACTACTTCTGTGATATTACTACTACTTCCTGTTATCTTCTTCGTTGTCGTCTTTTTCGCCAGTAGAAACAGCCGGTTGTGATCACGTGACTCCCGTGATGGGAAAAAATGTTTCCATTGCAGTTTTGCGAAAAACACCAATTTCGATACGGCCGAAAAACCACCTCATCCTAGTGCAAAAACGTTTTGTTGAAAAACGTAATTTTTTTCGAAATTGACGTGTTTCCATTGAGCAAATTCATTTTTGAAATTCTAATTTGCGCATTTTCATGGTCAATGGAAATGCAGCTTCTGACTAGGCGTCTATGGACTCCAGGTGATAAATCAACATATTAATCGTTATCGGCTAAATACCACAATTAATTGTGATTAATTCTGTTGCCAATATTGCCCAACCCTAATACACACACTGGTGAAATATTTAAACTGGCTCTTGTTCAATTATAAAACCCTACTAGGTCTTTCACCTCCTTATTTAAATCAGTTACTACAACAAGAACGCCACTCGTAATTCAATACCCGTTCCTCCCAATTTATTAGACTGAAAATTCCTAAAACCAAGTCTTATTTTAGCCTTGTGTCTTTCCAATGCATTTTGACACTTTGATTTTTCTTCCTGCTTTTAAACTCAGACTAAGGCCCTGTTTACACAATGCAGATTTTGAGTGAAACCGCAGGATTTTTCCTGTGGTTCGGCCAATCATGTACCCGACACCAGCCGTCGTTCTTTTTGAAACTGGAGGTTTCTGAATCCTGGTCTCAGAGTGGAGATTTTCAGGAGCACCCCCCGCGGAGGTGTGATATATCCTGTAGCTGTGAAAGCGTGCATGCATAAACAGCCGGCACACAGCAAAGGTTTCTTCTAAACAACAACAATTACAATAAACTACAGATATCTCTATCTTTTTCCGCTTCTCCGGATTCGAGTCGCGGAGGCAACAGGTCCAGGAGAGAAACCCAGACATCCCTCTCCCCAGCGACACTTTCCAGCTCGTCTTGGGAGACACCGAGGCGTTCCCAGGCCAGAGAGGATACCTAATCCCTCCAGCGAGTCCTGGGTCTTCCCCGGGGCCTCCTCCCAGTGGGACGTGCCCGGAACACCTCTAAAGGGAGGTGTTCAGGAGGCATTCTAATCAGGTGCTCGAACCACCTCAACTAACTCCTTTCGGTGTGGAGGAGAAGCGGCTCTACTTCGAGCTCCCCCCGGATGACGGAGCTCTTCATCCTATCTCTAAGGCTGAGCCCGGCCACCCTACGAAGGAAGATCATTTTGGCCGCTTGGATCAGGATCTGGTTCTTTCAGTCATGATTCATGCCTCCTGACCATAGGTGAGGGTTGGAACGAAGACACACCAGTAAATCAAGAGCTTTGCCTTTTGACTCAGCTCTTTCTTCACTACGACTGACTGAAGCAACACCCTCATTACTGAGGACGAGGCCCCAATCTGTCGATCCATCTCCCGTTCCATCCTACCATCGCTTGTGAACAAGACACCAAGATAATGGTCACGAAGGGCGCTCCCTCGCCAGTGGTGGATGTGTTTATACTTGGGGACTACGTTGTTGTAGATTTCTCCAAAAGGACACATGGAAGTGCACTTTATAACTTGTGAAATGTAAATAGGAGAGCAAAAGCGTGGCAAACAAACAAGCTGTTGAAACGATGCACGGCGCACACAGCCTTTGCAGAGTTATAAAATGTAGGAGGTGGATGACTACGTGCCAGGACACAGGTCAACGCGCAAGAGGCACAATTGCGTCACTTTTGGCGTGGCGCTTCAACTATAAACCTAGCTTTAAACTGTTCCACTTAAGGCAGAGACTCTCCCCCGACCCGCAGTGGGCATTCCACCCTTTCCTGGTCGAGAACCATGGCGTCAGACTCAGAGGAACTGACTTTCATCCTAGCTGCTTCACATTCAGCTGTGAACTGCCCCAGTGCACGTTGAAGGTCTTGGACTGAAAACACCAACAGAAACACAACATCTGCATACAGCAGAGATGAAACCCTGTGGTTCCCAAGCCAGACATCCTCCTCTCCACAACTGCACCTTGAGATCCTGTCCATAAACACTACAAACAGGATTGGGGACAGGGGACAACCCTGACAGAGCCCAACATGTACTGAGAACAGGCTTGACTGTGTGCCACAAATACACATACATTTATAATATGATCCTAAGCTTTTTTTTTATTCCTCTTGCATTTTTCAAGCTATCTTTTTGTCTTTTTAGTTATATACAGTAGTGGAGACAGTGTTGCCCATAAAGATCTGTGAGACATTGGTATTGCTCTGCTGAGAGGATGAGGAGGACACTAATGACCATAGAGCTATGTACCTGGACCTCTTAGCATGAAACCAGGCTGTGTACTCTATTGCAGCTAATAGGCTCTGAAATGGACAGAGAAGGCTGACAAACACACATGCAGTTGTAATAATGAATATATAACTACATCAAGGGGTTCCAATAAAAGAGAAAATAAGATTCAGTCCACTCTATTTGATTATTATAGTTTCTGAGTATTGTTTTATGGTCCTTTGTAGAAACACAAGGATCTATACTAATGTTGTTTGAGCCAAGTACAGTGGTTTGTTCCAGGATTGTAATCATTATTAGTGTAGCACAGTTTGAATGTACCTGAAGAAACTGGTTGTTGTTTATTTTCTATATGTACAGCTTAAAGACTTTATCAGAAAAATTTTGCTGGAAGGCTAAGCTCTCATTCTGCTCGTCTAAAGCAAAAAGAGATAACTTAACAGCAGTATTAATACAACGTTTTCTACAATATTTTTTTAACTTAATTAGTTGGTACCTATGTAATAATTAAGCAAGTAACATTACTGATTTATTTTATTAAACTCACTGTTATTTAATCCAATTTAGATTTTAGATCAGGGAACAAAAGTAAAGCAAAGTATTAACTTTTGTAGGCATTTTTATTTCTAATATTTTGATGCTGTACAACCAATTTAATGATAAATGTCAGACCTTCACAAAATACTCCACATTATTGACATTAAATAAGAAAACAGTGTGAAATAATTCCAAGAAGAAGAACCTGAAATAGGCTGTTTCACCCCTCCCAAAGTCAATATTTAGCCACCTTGTTCTGCTGATTCATCGAAAAGTCTTTTTGGGTCTGTCTCCATGATATGTCCATCTTATCATTAGATTTATTGTCTGTTCTTCATGACCTAACTGGTCAGATGGTTGCTGCATGTGTTTAATCTTTAGCTGTGTTCTCTGCCATCAGATCTTTCTCTGAATGCTTGAATTTGCCCTGAAACGTTGTGACAAGCTTTTGCTAAACTTTATTATGAATAATGTTGAAAATTGTATTTCTGCTGTTGAGTTTTTACAGCATTTTCACCATTTTAGGACAATCTGTACTTTGCCTGCCCCATTTGTGTGCTTTAGTTGAGCTGGACTGAGGTTATTATGACCCCCGCACATGAAGCGGGGGTCATATTGTTTTCAAACGTTTTATTTTTATTTATTTTTTAGTGATTTTTGGTCAACCGTAGCACAAAAACGGCTGCACCAATCAACATGAAATTTAGCAGGACTGTAGATGAGTCTGGGCCGCATACCGGTTTCAAGGTACAGTTTACCATGATATGAAAACGTCACGGTTTCAAAACCACTAAATGTTCTGTCATACCGTGCCTACGGTATGACAGAACGGAAAGCGTTTTTTGTTTATTTTTCCTCTGGTCTGTGCCGCTGCAGACTTTCCCCCGGCAACCCCTCCCCCACGCACTCCTGCAGCAGACTGCCTGTCGGCACTCGCAGCTCTGCGGGGATTGTGTGATGGCTGAAGAACAGAGCTCCCCAAACTTTTCCCCTGTCTAAAAGATTAAAGCCAGCTATATGAAAATACTTAGGATGCCGTAAAGAAGATGGTAGTCAGCGTTCTATAAAGTACCTCAAAGTGATACTTGAGTAAAAGTGCAAGTATCTTATCATAAAAATACTTTGGTAAAAGTTAAAGTCTTCTCTAAAAATATTACTTGAGTAAAAGTCTTAAAGTATCTGATATTTTTTGT